AATCAATCTGACTGGATGATCTGGTGAACTGGAAAGTGACCTGAGATGACATGATGTGAATTGGAGCTATAGAAATAAACTGAATAGAATTAATTATTTAATTTCTATTTCACAAATTGCCCGCCTAATTAAAATTGTTCAATCCACAAATAAAAACGTAGTAATACTTAGTAATAAGGTACTGAATAGCCTCAGTTGATGACCTATAAACCAGGGAGAGTTTGTATTTACTGCAGTTATTGACTAATGTAAGAGCAATCTCCAAAGAATCGCAAAGACAGTCTTTTGCTCACAGACGTTCCCTGATTTTACCGCTTCTTTTGGTAGTTTACTGAGAAGGAAAGCTGTGAGACAGGTAGATGGAGTTCTGAATTCCCCATACTTCCAGAGAATGGATCTGGAAATGTCCCTTGCAGAGTGGGTCGCTCCTGAATGTTTCACAAGTCCCAGAGATTCCTTCCTCTAATTTTTCCCGCAAGCAGATAGCGTGGCCGCCGTCACCACCTGAAATATGACATATGAGTGATGTCATCAGGACGCAACAATAGGGATTGGTTCATCTTTAACATGATTCTGTCTGCATGTGTAAACGACATACCGATGATGAGCTGACTGTCATCCCCTGCAATGAACTTTGAGGCATCTTGTTCCTTTGGTCTTTTGGCCTCTTTTGCTGTTCTGGGATGATCTAGTGGAGCAGTGAGGGGGACGGTCAGGAAGGCGGGGTTCTGGGGAGTCCCAGACGGACAGCTGAGAGTTTCAGTGGCGAGCTGAGAGGAGGAGCTGCCTTCAGCTCCAGGTTGCTGAGGCGACACTGTTCTGGTCATAATGTTGATCATAGCCCGTTGGTAGCGCTCCATGTTGGGCCGCAGCTGAAACAGTTGGTACATTTTGGTTAAAACTCTACATCATAAAAGGCATTCTGTGCAATCATATATAGGGCATCATAAGGCTGCTCTAAAAGGTTTGAAGATGTTAATATTTTATGTTCATAAATTTACATCCAGATTAGTTCTGTAGTATGACGAAGTATTAGGGCCAGGCTAGAGATTTTTATTTATTTATTTATTTTTTTTAGAAAAAAAGTCGTAACATTACGAGAAAAAAGTCATAAAATTATGAGAATAAAGTCGTAACGTTACGAGAATAAAGTCATAAAATTACGAGAATAAAGTCGTAACGTTACGAGAATAAAGTCGTAAAATTACAAGAATAAAGTCGTAACATTACGAGAATAAAGTCATAAAATTACAAGAATAAAGTCGTAACATTACGAGAATAAAGTCATAAAATTAC